AAAAAAAAAAAAAAAAAAAAAAGATTTCAGATCACTGAAGGAGAAAGGATTTGTATCTACTGCTCCAGAGCATTTTTTAATCTGTGTCTGACTAGGAAATATGTGTGGATGTATGCTGTTTGCAGGGGCAGTGAGGCGGCGGACTCTTGGTGCAGCTGTCCACTGCAGCTGAAAATCCCTCCAGGCTCCCCAGTTGTGTGGCAAGGGTGCAGTTCTCACTCATCCACTGGACAGAGATGTGTGTAAAGAGATCTTTGCTCCTCAAATACCAGTTCTTAACTTTCCAGAACCCTTGTCCAGACAGGCAATATGGCTGCATCCTGGCGTCTGTAAGAAGTGACCCCTGGCCTTCCCTCATCTTTTTCCATCTGGCGTAGCCAAAATAATCTCCAGGGCTGCTTACTTCTGCACTGGCCACCAGGGGGCCCAAGAGAGCCCATGGCTGCCTCCGGTTCTCATCACCCAACCCTTCCATTGCAAGAGAAGGCAGTTCCACTGAACCCCAGATGCCCACTATCCAGCAATAGTTATTGTATTTTTCTCCCATTATTTAGATTGTCCTGCCCCCAGTAAATCAGAGAGGTGGCTGGAATCCTGCCAGCCTTCTGCCTGGTGAGGATGCTCTTCAGCCAGGCTGTCTGCTCTCCACTCTGGCTCCAGGCCTACCCACTCAGTGCCAGCATGTGTCCTGCCACACCCCTGCCATTATCAGTGCTCAGGCCCAGGTCCTAGTCCAGATGTGGTGATTTCTTACTTCACCCTCTGAATACGTGGCCTCCTGCTCTCAAAGGTCCTGATGACAGCAGCAAGTTGGCCACATGTGCTGGCACCTTGCTGTTCATGTTTACTTTTCCTGGGGCAAGGCTGACCTCAGCAATATGAGCGTGTTTTAGCTGTACCTGTGTGTGCATACATCCCTCAGGCTGCCTTGACCCTTCCCAAGCCGTGCTGATCTGAAATGAAACCTGGGCCAAGAGAGAAATTCAGAGTTCAACAAAGGAAACAGTGTCTTAAAGCCACACCTCCGCAAATACAGCCCTACCAAGTCAGCCATCTCCACATTGAGCATGAATAGAACTCAGAGATTTCCCAAGTGTGCAGGACCAGTTTGCATAGTATCTATTACTGTTGGAATTCATGATTACTGAACTTTTCTTTTCCAGGCACTAAGGGAGAGGCACTAGGGGAGAGGCTGGGGGGACCTCAGGTCTTATGTGACAAATGATCAAGTCTAAACAATGACATTTCTGCTTCCACAATATATGCTAAGCCTTCTTTATTATGGGTCTTTCTGTGACTTTTCTTTCTGGGACTTTTCTGTCCTTGGCCCAGCAGAGAGGGAAAGGTGGGGACTTTGACCTGGAGCCCATAGACAGCTGGCTCATGACCCAAGGAATGGTGAGGAGCCGCTGCTGAGCTCAGCCAAGCCCGCTGTCCATCCCAACCCCTCACCTGTGTAACAGCGTCTTCCTCCTGCCACCTGCCCAGCCCTTGTGATCAGACAGGACAAGGCCACACTCGTTTCTTCTGATGGCGGTGCCAAATTTCCTGAACTGTCTTTATATAATCTTCTTAGATGACAGACTTCCTGTCCCAGAAACACCTCTGCTTTTCTGCTGAGGCTCCTGCCCTGTGCCCTCAGGGTCTGTGACATTAGCAATGGGGTGGGGGGGGGTTTCTCTCCTTGAACTACCTCAGGAGCTCTCAGCAGTATTCATTTTTCTAGGATAAGCACAAGTACCTGTGGCCTTTGCTTGGGAGGTGACAGTTCTGAGGTAGCAGCACAAAGCATCGGCCAGTCACACATGCTCCTGTTACCAGGAATTCAGCAATTCTAGGCTTGGTGGACATTTGTGATACAGTTACTTGTGTCTCCTGAGTCAGTCCAAAGGGCTTGAGGCCTCTTAAAGATATACACACAGTAGGATCAGAGTTAAAATAAAACAATGCCTGGTGAGTTTAGTAGGATAAACATATTTTTCATGTAGTGGAGCTTTTCTGACACAAAGGCCTGGTAGGATCTCTCCTGCCTTGTCTGCTCAGGTAGCCCTGAATTCAGTGCATGGAAAGAGTGTGACTACATCCTCGACTGCCTGCCTCAGGGTGACCATTTCACCTCCAACATCCAGCCCAGAGCTCTGGGTACAGGTGGTATGGCCAGAGTACAGACAATTTTGAGAATGGAAGCTGGTGACAGAGGTGGAAATGTGGGCCTCTGCCCTCCCAGGAGGTAGGGTAAGAAGATGCATGACCATCCATAGGTTCCAGAACAGGCTGTGGCCAAGAAATGGGCCAAACACTTGAATGTCCAGGAAGGGCAGCAGGTCCCAGACTACAGTCAACACAGGGCTACCTGCCAGAATGGGACTTGTGCCAGACAGGACCACAGAACCATGGGTATGTGCTTTGGCTAGTGATCTGTGCACAGCTGTGCTTTGTGGTACCTTTCTCTTGCCACCTGTCATTGCAGCAGCATAGTCCTGCCCTAGAGGAGAAGGTAGTTGTTCCTGCATTAGCCCAGGCCACTTAGAGACACGGGCTGGCCAGGCCCTTCATTTGCTTCTGAAGGACATGCTGGGCTCTGGTCTGCATGTATGAGTGGTCTTAGAGCAGTGCCTGAAGACCATGTCTGCTCCATTGTTCACACTGGGAAGATCTAGCCCTTGTGTCTGCCAATCCTGCAGAAAATGATACTGCCTTCCCAAGCTATCTAGTGTGGCCTTGGCAGCTGGTGTGGCACATGACCCTGCCCATGCAGGTTGCTGCCCCCCACTGCCCTGTCCCCACATAGAGATCCAGTCTCCAACTTCCTGGAAACAGACTTGACTAACAGCTAACTTTGTCTCATGTGCCTACCTGCAGTTTTTTTTTTCCCCTCCTTTAAAACAATATTAATTGCTTTGCTTTATTTCCCATAGTATAGAAACCCTGAGTCTTCCTGAACCTCTCAAGTGCAAATTCTTACATGGAAACTTTTTGTACTATTGAGAGAGACCAGAAGCTTTTAGGCTGTTTCTTCCATAGAGTTTGGTTGAAATAACAGGGAGAGTTCCACAGCTCCTGAAAATGGCACAATTATACTGTAATCTTGGTCTTGTTGCATGGAAAATTAGACAGGTAGACCTTGTGGCCTTGGGACTGTGGGGAGCTGCAAACAAGCACCTCACCAGGACCTTCCTCTCCTGAGACTTCAGGTGTGAGGTTCCCAACCCAAAAGCTAACTAGCCATGCCAGGCTTGGTCCCAGTTGATGAGAAACGAGATCTGGTATGGGCCAGTGCTGAGCCAGTGGCTCTACCTTCCCTGTCTCCCTAGCTTATAGGTCTTTCTGCTTCTCCCAGACTGTGATTCGCTAATCCATCTCTCATTTGCAGTGGATAGCCAGGGGGTGCCCTGACGTGAACAAATACAGGTCAAAACAATACCAGAAGTAGGTTAGTGAAGCCTATTAATGCCTAAGCCTAGTTGGAGATGGAGACCTTAGAGTCCCTCTCACTCAGGACAAATGATCAGTAACCCTGAGAGACTCAAGGCCAGCAGGCCCAAGGCTGCAGGAAGCCTGGCCACAGAGAGCCTGATCCTGTTTCTTTTCTGAACCCTGAGGCTGAGCCAGCCCTGCCTGCAGCTCCAGGTGGAAGTCAGCTGACAGCAGGACAACCTGGGCTGCTCTTGTGGCCCAGTCTGCTGCCCTCACATCTGAGCTCCTCACTTCTCTTGTACTGTGAAGACAGACAGAGCTAGTGAAAATGTTGCCTTGGCCCCACTAGCTCAGCCTGTCTGTCTTCACAGAACTTAGATTTATAAAGGCCTTGGTTTTTATGGAAGAATGTTCCAGTCGACTTCCTTACTTTTCTCTCTTTACATCCTTCTCCTCTCTCTCTCCCTTGTCCAGCTCACATTCTTCAGACCCATTGGACCAGCCTATAGCGCAGATCATTGCCCAGAAAATGCTATAACCATGGCACATCAGAGCCGACTGGCTTCTTAGGAAGCACGCGCACACACACACACACACACACACACACACACACACACATAAATGTGACCCTATTTCATAGTCATTCTATTTCACTGATGAAGAAACTGAGGCCAAGCCTTGTCAAAGCTCCTGTACCCTACTTCTGCTTCCCACTCACATGTTTGGGGCATCTACAGACAAAGAAGGCTAGGAGCAACCTAGTGAAGGAACAGATCCAGAGAGAAGCCTGTTACCCTGAGCCATGCACCAGTGAGGGCTGTGGCCCAGACAGTGAGTTTATCCAGCTTGCTTCTTCCCGCCAGCCTTAATCTCAGTCTCCCACAAAGCATTAGGACATAAGCAATTTTTCTGTCAGAATGTAACACCCATGATCTGGATTCCAACTGCCAATGGAGTCCTTTTTCCCAACTGAAACCTCTTGAGCCTGGTTTTCACTGGCTGGATTACTGTCAGCATGCTGGTCTTCTGAGCTGTGACCAGACTCTTCCATCAGACTGAGCTTACGGCATTCTGTAGCTTTTCTGGCCAGCATCCTCAAGCCTTCCCAGACCCCTGTGAGCCAGTTCCAAAGGCTTCTAAACCATGGTCAGGTGACTTCCCCTCCATGAGCCCACTTCTCTAGTACCAGAAGCTGTCTTACTTTCCTGTTACTGGGACTAAATACCCTCTACCTGGTACTTAGAGGAGGACATTATTCCATGAACACAGCTCACTCAGATAACCTTTGGGAGAGGGAACAGTAGCATCCCCATACCCCTGCTTGTGGAGAATTTCCTTTTTGAGGGGGGAAGAAGTTTCTCAAATATCATTATTTCTTCTTTCTACCACTGCTTCTTCCCCATCTTCCTTTCTTTCTTTCCACAGTACTAGGGATTGAATGCAGAGTCTTTCCAACTCATTTATTTTTTATTTTGAGCGTCATGCTAAGTCATTGAGTTGCCTAGGCTGCACTTGATCTCGTGATTCTTTTGCCTCAACCTCCCAGATTGCTGGCATTACAGGAGTGTGCTACCACACCGATTGATTGTTTGGTTGATTGATTAAATTGATTTTTTGCATTACTGGGCATTGAACCCAGGGCCTTACACAAGCTAAGCGTGTGCTATACCACTAAATGTATTCCCCGACTCTTTTAAATTTTTATTTTATTTTGAAGTAGGCTCTCACCAAATTGTCCATGCCAGCCTTGAACTTGCAATCCTTCTGCCTCAGCTTCCCAAGTAGCTGGGATTACAGGTGTGCAACACTGTATTTGGCTATGTTTTTTTTGTTTTTTGTTCTGTTTTGTTTTGTTTTGTTGTTTTTGTTTTTTTGAGCATGCTGGCTCTCAAAATTTTTTATTTTTTTTCTAGTACATGGTTGCAGTACACAATTTTTAAAAAATCATGGAATTGTCTTCATTCTTTTTTTAAATAAAATTTTATTCTTACATGTACAACAAACTCCAAGAACACACATCATTGTAGTTATAGGTGTCAAGAGATGTTATGACAGGACATCCAGATATCTGAATAGGAATGGAATCCAGGGTCACCATCACTGTACACACAAGGAACAGTTTATTTTTTGCCAGATTTGGTCTTCATGTTTAATATTCAAAGAAGGAAGTTGACCCCAAGCCCCAGGAGTAGATGGGTGGGTCAGTGGATGGATGGATGGATGGGTGTGTGGGTGGATGGATGGATGGATTTTTATGCATGGGGTGGGAACCCAGAACTAGTACGTGCTAGACAAGCATTCTACCACTGAGCTATGTCCCTAGCACTCTTTTTTTTTTGTACCAGGAGTCATACCCAGGCCCTTACACTTGCCAGGCAGGTGCTATGCCACTGAACTATATCCCAGGCTCTATTTTTTTAAGTAATAACTAGAAAAGTATAAGAAAAAGCTGGTGGGTTCAGGCCTATAGTCCCCTTTATCCCCCAAGTTTTGGAACACACGAAATGCCCAGTGGTAGACCACTTACCTAGCATGTGCAAAGCCCTGGAGTACATTCCCAGGACCACAAAGAAGAGAAGAAATGAGGAAGTGGAAGAGAGAGAGGAAGAAGAAAGGAGGAGAAAGGGAAAAGCTCAGGACATGGATCCTTGGTTTGATACATACATGAAACAGCTCTGGCAGCTGTTAGGGGTTGACTTGCTCTTTGAAAAAGCAGCTGGCTTCCTGAGCAGCAGGCCAGGCACTCGGTGTGCTACATATCCTGCCTGGGCCAGGCATCCTGACTCATAGACATCAAGGCTGTGAACACTGTGTGTCCTGTGCCAGGAACATGGCAAGGCAGAAGATCTGCCAGCAAGTGTTGGTAGTGGGTCACACCCGCTGTGCCCTGCCGGTCTTTGGCAGGGGAGGTTGGTACCCATCAGGCATTCATCCCCCCACCCCAAGTGAGTCGAGATATATATATATATATATATATATATATATATATATATATATATTTTTTTTTTTTTTTTTTTTTTTTTTTTTTTTTTTAAGCAGGGTAATAAGAACTCCCTGAAATGTTTTAAATTCGATAATCTGAAGTTCCCAGAAAATCAAAGGGATAAAATGGAAATAAAGAAAGCTACTCTCTTACCTGGTCAGTGAATAGGGTTGCTTGAGCTTTTCTTTTTTGTTCTCTTTTTAAAATGTTGTTTTAATGGTGATGAGGATAGAACCCAGGGCCTTGAGCATGGTAGGTCTGTGCACTACCACACCACTAGTCCTCGGCCTGAACCTTCCTGAAGTTGCTTAGGGGCTGCCCATACTCAGTTGAAGCTAGGACACAGAAGAGATTCTGCAGACTCCTGCTCAGCACAGTGTGCTCCACCTGCCTGCACCAAACCCCATGGATAGCAGATGTTAACCTCCATAACTGGAGTTGTCACTTTAGGCCTGGTGATACAAACTCTTGGCTCTTTTCCTTTGTGAAGGTCCTCATATGTTTTAGACTTTAATATTCTAACAGTCCCCCCACTACTTAATTTTATTTTTACTGTAGATTGTGTCTTTGGAGGTGTAGCTAACTACAGACATTGTGTTGGTATTTTTTCCTAGAAATAATGTGTTAGCAATTGAGATCCTGGCAGGTACCTTCCATACCCAGGGGAGATAAGGAGGCAGGTCACCCCACTTAAGCTCCACTACCTCAGTTGTCCAGGCTGGGAGCTAACATTTCTTTAACATGGCTGCTAGGAGTTAAAGATCACCTCCACCTTTTATATCATTAATGATAGGAACTTAAAGATTTTGAGACACATATACTTTTCAGAATTTCTGCTCCTGAGACACTTGGCACAGGCAGCCCAGGTGGGGTGTTTGAATACCTATGAAAGCTTGCCAGGGAGCCCTGACTGTTGCTCCCTAGACCTCAAGGAATTTGTCCCAAGCACCACTGAAACACAGCCAGTCACTGAGGGCTGGGAGAAAGGATGAGACAAAAGGAAGTTGTGTCAGGACTTCTGTGATTTGTTTCCTCTAAAGAGATATAAAGAAGAAAGTGCCACAGTCCTTTTGTCCTCATGGCCCTGGTTTTGCAGTGTTTTTTTGGTGGTGAAGCCTGCCTGCATTCTGTCAACAGCTTTACCTAGGCTGATGGAGCATACATCCCCAACTGCCTTCCCCACTTCTAAAACGTGCCTGGGTGCCTTGTGTAATTCACACAGCTGAGCAGATGGAGCCCCAGATGGCTCCTGGGTTGGCACTACCTGCCCTCCTAAGCACTTTCACCCCAGGCAAGGCAGGCTGCCTCTTGGCTGTCCCAGTGGCATCAGGGGCCACTCCTAGCTCCTAGCATTACCTCCTGCATTGGGCTTGACAGAAGGCAAAGAACTGTTATGGCTGAGGAGTTCAAAATCAAAATGTAGGCCTAATGCATTGGTGAGATTAGAAGGTAATCTCTTCACAGCCCTAGGCCAAGAGACCCTGTGACATGAGGGCAAGGACACATAGTCAAAAAGTTATCCATCTCAAGAACTCGTACTGCCACGTCCCTTGCTGCTGGCCCCTGCTGGCCAGTCGTGCTTCTTATAATTTGCCACTCACTGCTTTCCTTACTGCTACTTCATAATGTGGCTTCCCTTGTGTGCCTGTGTGTGCCATGCCAGTTGTGTTTTTTTTGCTCTGTGTGCATTTTGGTTTTGTTTTGGGGTTGCTTTGATGATTTACTTTGTTCCGGTGTTCTGTCTCCTTCGCCTGGCTGTGGGGGCTGTGTGGCCCCGATGCTTGCTGCCTCCATAGATCCCCGTTGCACAGCCCTCTGTCATGGACGACATTGAGGTGTGGCTCAGGACGGACCTGGTGAGACTCGACTTTTATATTTTGTGTGTGGGGTGTGGCACGGAGAGGCTCTTCTGAGGATAGGCACTGGGGCACGCTGCAGGAGCCAAGTCTCTGTTGGGGGTTGGGGGAAAGGAGGGCAGGTATGGCTGCTGTAACCAGCAGCTCTTCACAATTCATCTTGTTCCCCAGCACTTCCCAGGGCCTGGAGGGCCGTGGCAGACCTGGGAGCACAGGCCCAGCGCCAGGCCTGGCCCGCACAGTCCTGCCCGGTGGGCAGGTCCCTGCCTGACATCTCATTGCCTGCAGGAAGCCAACTGTAGTCCACTCCCAGCATACTTATCTCCTCCCAGCTTCCTCTTAGTTTCTAGGACATGTGTGTGCTTGGGGTTTGGGGGCAGAAGGGGGAGGGGTTATTGTTGCTTGGGTTTTTGGGTTTTTTTTTAACCTTTTTGGTTTTCATTTTTATTTTTTCCATACTAAGAAAGGGACTCATAGACTTACAGGTGCAAGGCAGGCACTGTACCACTGAACTACAGCTTCAGCCCTCATTTCTTTTTATTTTATTTTTATTATGAAATGTGCACAGATACATCGGGTATTTGGTTTTGTTTTACATTCACTGCCATCTCCTTTCCCAGGAACTCTATTTTGGATTTAAAGGAACCTCTGTCCCACAGAGTCTTGTACCCATTCTGTAAGACAGGGTAAAAAGCTGAGGATGTTATAGTCTAAAGAAGCTTTTTCAGCTGCCCTGACGCTTGACCAGTGGCTGGTGAAGAAGTGTGCTCTGGTGGGGAGATGCTGTCCCCTGAAAATTGGCTTTGATTCTCCCACAGATCTGGAGATACCTCCTCTTCCTCCTGGTTGTGCATTGTTAGGGATAATCCTGTTCCCAGAGATGAATAACTTCCTGGCTGCTGTAACTACAGGGTCAGCTTAGCATTCTGTGGGCTGGTGACAACACACGAGGACAATGAGGACAACGGGCCTCTAGTCAGAGTGTCTCACTGCCTCTTTTACAGAAGCCCAGGCTTTCTTTCCAAAGGCACTCATTGTCAAGGGAGGCACCCAGCCAGGTGTCAAGAGTGGAAGAAAATACCCCAGGCTCTCTTAGCCAAGAGGATGCCTTAAGACGAAATAAAACAAGCTGACCAGATAGCTCAGCAGACTAAGCACCTACTTAGGCAAGAGCAGGGACCAGGGTTCAATCACCAGTACTGCATGCCGCTCTGGGTGCACTAAACTGGCCACCCAGATTGAGTGTGGTGATACATGCCTGTAATCCCAGTGCTGGGGAGGCTGAGACCCTGTACCAAATATGTAAAATTAAAAAAAAAAAAAAAAGAAAGAAAAAGAAAGAAAGCGAGAAAGGCAAGGCCCTCACCTTATAAGGGAGTCCTGAGGACCAGAGAAGGGAAGGAACCTGTCCAACAAGGGTACACCACAGGTCCGGGAAAGGCTGGGAAATGCTCTGGTCTCTTAGCCTGTGTGGGACTTTTCACTCCCTATCATCCCCTTCCTAATTGCAACCCTCACATGTGCTGCTTCTCCGAGGCAGCGCCTCTAGGCAAAACCAAATGGGATTGGTTCCCATAGACTCTCCATGGCCAGCGTAAAGAAGGGAGTCTGGACAGAGGAGAGGGCTAGTGCGCCAGGCAGAGCCTCCCTTGCCCAAGCGCCGTCTAGGTGCCAGGCCTGAGACATCCAGGCCCCAATGGCTCCCAGCAGTCGGTATGGACAGTGTCTTCCCATTGCCACTGTGCTAGCAGTGAGCAGACTGGCACAGAGGAGCAGCCTTGGGAACACTGCTACCCAGCGGCGCAGCCTTCTCGTAGCCATCCAGCTTCTCCTAAGAGCCTTGAGTGTGGATGGGCAGGGAATCAGTCTGCATCATTTTTTGATTTTTTTTCCTGGCCTTTCTAGGGATCAAAACCTAGAATCTATTTGGGTTTTTTGGTTTTGCTTCTAAAAAACAAAACAAAACAAAATTTATTCTCCCTCAATAAAAAGAGCACTATCTTACTGTTACAGAAATTTGGAAACAGCAGGCATGGTGGCACACACCTATAATCCCAGCCCTTAGGAGGCTGAGGCAGGAAGATTGCCTAAGTTCGTGGCCAACCTACACTGAGTTCTAGGCAAGCTGGAACTACATAGTGAGACCCTGTCTCAAGAAAAAGAAAAAAAAAAAAAGCAAGATTATTTGGGCTGCCATTGGCAGTGCCACCCTGGGGTGACCATAGGGAGGTAAAGGTGCTTGGGTGAGTGAGGCCTGAATTCTTAACACTGCTGTCTCTGCTCCTCTCACAGAAGGGTGATGACCTGGAAGAGGGTGTCACAAGCGAAGGTAAGACCTGGCCAGTGGCCTTGCACCTCCTATTGCTGTTCCCACCCCAGGCTCTGGGGACCTACAGAAAGTGTCTCCCATCCCACCCCCATTGGTCAGAGGCCCTTCAGGTACCAGAACGTGAGCTGCAGCTTCATGGGGGCTCAGTCTAGTCTTGTACTGCTGTAGACATAACACATTCCCATTTTGTTTAAAGGGAAATGGAAATCAAGAATATGTGACTTAGTGGGTACGGATCACCATCTTGGGTCCCAACCTCTGTGTACTCATCGTAGCTCAGACACAGCCCCCAGTCCACAGAGGTCTACAGGGCTCCCAGGAGGCTGAGCTAGAGGAAGCAGCACCAGACTGGGCCTCAGTTGATGGGCCAGGAGGGAAGTGTAGGCCTGGTTCTTCTACAGGGCCCTGCCCTTTCTGCTACACCGCCCTCCCCTTGCATCCCCTTGTCCTTCCTTCCAGACCCTATAGTCAGAAGGCCCAGGCAAAGAACTGTCAGGGCACCTGGCCTCTGTTCTGGGTGACCACTCTCCTGAGTGGCTCCCTGGTCCTCCTATAGGAGTGGTGGTCCCCCTGCCACATTCTGTGAGAGTGCCAGGCTTTCTCTGGCCTGCCCCACATTAATCTGAAAATGTACAGAAATGTGGACCGTGGAGAAGGTGTTCTGTGGTCTTGTTTCCAGAGCATTTCTCTACAGGGGTCATAGGCTGCTGGATCTTCCCCGTTACTGGCAGGCCACAGTATCCCCACTGCAGTGCACTTCCACCCATCCAGCTGGGGTTTGCACTTGCCCAGTAGATGGCAGAGAAGGACAGTGAGGTGGGGGCCCTTCCTGAGACAGGTCCAAGAAGCACCCATACTTTAGCTGGATGTTTACCCTACCACCCCAGTTTCCCAAACCCCATCAGCCCCACAGCAGAATACAGGCCAGAGCTGGGAGATATGGGGACTTGTACCAGAGTGACCCCTGTGGAACAGCTGGACTGCATTCTCATCAACCCTGGTCCCTGCTTTGGTTTGTATTGCAGAGTTTGATAAGTTCTTGGAAGAGCGAGCCAAGGCCGCTGAAATGGTCCCTGACCTCCCATCACCCCCTGTGGAGGCTCCTGCCCCGGCTTCCAACCCTTCTGGCCGGAAGAAGCCTGAGCGGTCAGAGGACACCCTCTTTGCCCTGTGAGCTGCTCTGTGGTCTTCTCTGTGGATAGCAGGTCACTGCTTGCTCCCTGTGGACACTGAACACTGGCCACTCTCCCTGCCCCTCACCCTTGGCCTGTGCACCTGTGTCTTCATGGAAACACCTGTGTCTGCTCCCCTAGTCAGGACCAGCTTTTGCCACCTTCCTTCTCAGTGGTGGGACAGCTGCACTGCAGCTAGAGGCCCCACCTTCTCCTTCCCCAGGCTTCTGACTGTGTGTCCTTCCAGGAAGAGCGGTCACCCAGCCTAGGCAGAGAGTAGCCCCTCGACACTGCTCCTGAGCAGACCACCTGGACTATCGTCTCCATCACCCACCCACAGAAGAGGGGGTCAGGCTCTGGCTTGCCATGTGTGCCCACAGTATGTGCCACCTCTGCTGGCTCAGTGGATTCCCTGAGGCCTGCTGCCCTCATCCCTCTGCTGGGAATGGCCTTGTGTCTCCTCCTTGGACCTTGTCACTTCATGGCACCTGTTGTGTTGGCACTTTAGAAGGCTCTGTAGGGCGCTCATATGGGGTTCTTATGTACTTGACCCTCTCTCCATCAGCCAGCTGCCTACTGAGACCTCCCGCCCCCCGGCTCAGCAGCCAGGCCCAACCAAGGGGTCACAGAGGACCGTAGCTCCTAGTATGGGGACAGCCCAGTGCACTTGGGAGGGCAGCACTACTATAAACCCATCTGCAGCCTGTGTACTCCAGCCAGCAACCTTTGGCCTTGTGTGGAGGGACCTGTGCGAGGAGATGTGAGCTGGCCCTGCCTGCACTGGCCTCCACTCACCACCTCCAGGCCCAGCAGCAGACTGCTCTGCACCACACCAGGAGGCTCCAAAGGACTAAGTGGCCAGAGTGACACTAAGGCCTATGTCCCTCTCCCAGGCCAGGGCCTCAGACCTGCCATGGGCAGCATGACCTGACACCTCACGTGACCCCAGCCACCAATTTGCAGAGCCTAAAGCCTGACAGCCCAAGGCTGAGCAGATGGGGGCTGGTGACGCCTGCTTCTGTCCTGTGTATCTCCTATCCCTGAGCAAGGAACTCCCAGCACAAGCCTAGCCCTGGTTCAGCTAACCCTTCTTGCCCTAAGCTGCCATTACCCAGAGGAAGAACGAATTGCTGCATCATCCTGATGGGCCTGCACCCTTCCAGCGCAGGTCACCACAGTTTCCCACCCATGGTGTAGAGTGGCCTAGTGCTGTGCCTGTCACCATCTGCACACCAAGCTGCAGGGAAAGGAGGCTGCTGTGAAATGACTAGTTACTGGGCTCTGGGAAGTGCTTAGGACCAGGACTCCAGTGAGAGCTGTGGTGAGTGCTAGCTGAGTGTTCTGCCCCAGGACTCCATGCCCAGCCTGGCACTCTCCAGAGAGGACTGTGGTCTAGGTGGACCCATCTGCAAGACAGCAGGTTTGTTACACTCATGCACACAACACCTGGAAGCCCCTGCTCACGGTTTGCTGCTTGCTCCTTGCCCTGCCCTGCCTTCTCCAATCCCTAGCTATTGCCCTTCTTACCAGCTTGGAAGGGCAGGGTCCCTGAGAACTGACTAGGTTGGCACAGGTGTGCCCAAAGATCCCAGCCCTCTGTGGTCTGCCAGAGCTGGGCCCATAGGTAGTAGTAGACCAGGTCTAGCATCCCCTGAGGAAAAAGCCAACCGCCCTGCTTTGTGGATGGCACTGAGGAAGAGGGCCATCTGCAGTGAGCGGTGAGCAAGGCCAAGATAGATGCCCTCCTGGGAGTCTCAAGCAAAGCTGTTCTTAATACTGATATCAAGTACCCTCAACCCCAGTGGAGAACTCCTGTGGGCTGTGGTGACACAGCTGTGAGGCCTGCACTGGAAACAAGTGTGGGGATGTCATCCTGAGGCCTCTGGCTCCCACCTATCCTGCCATCTGAGGCATAGTCCTCAGGCCACCTGCCTAGGGGAGGAGCAGAGCCTGGTGGGAAAGGTGGACGTCGCAAGCCACCAGCCTCTACAAGTGTTAGAAATCACAGATACAGTATGTACTTAATTACACTAAATTATTGTGGGGATTCCTCATAAGTACTAATTATACCTGATTATAAGTTAAAATATTTATTTTGTGAAAATATTTTCTTGGGGATGTATTTAACCTTTTTTGTGTTTGTGAAGGCTCGCCAGTTCTCGCCCACTTTCCTGGCCAGCCAGCAGCAGCTAACTGCACCAGGTACATTCTGTCCTGGCACCCAGCAGTGGCGGCACCCAGCAGTGGCCTGAGGCTGTGCTGTGAGTGACCAGCTTGCTTCTCAGTTGCATGGGACAAGGGATTTTGGAGCCAAAAAAGGCTTATAGCTGGCCTGGGCCAGAGGAAAAGGTGACCGTCCATCTGTCTTGTCTTTCTATCAGCCCCTGCACTGTGAGTGACTGTGCCTTGGCTCCCTGCCCTTCTCCCCACCCAGTGGTCTCAGGCCTGTGTTGTCACTGCAGCACCTTGGGAGCGAGAACCCAAGTTCTTCTATGCTGAGGGGTTGGCGTCTAGGAATGGGTCAGTGGCAACTACTCCTTCTCCTCTTCCCTTTCCCATCCTCACCCTTCCTGCTGAGCTCAGCCTTCTGGCTGGTGAAGGTAAACAATGGACCTCCTGGGACCAGGCCAGCCTCACTTGGGAATAGCACATGGACTAGTGCTGGCATGGTCACAGCCCTTGCACTACCCATTTAGCCCATGTGCCACTCTGTGATCTTCTATTGGGACATCTGGGCTCTTCTATCATGTTCAGCCACATGGAAACAATGTGTCTCCCCCACCCACAAAGGGATCTGTTTCTACCCCAAAGATGCTTTCTGTTAGGCCTGCAGGATCTACGTTTCCCAGTGCCCATCTCCAGCCCTTCCCAACCATGGAAGTGGCTACAGGGTTCCCCTGTAGCCACTAGCCTTGGGAACAGCTGTCAATCATGAGTTATGATTGCTTTTGTCACAGTGTCCCAAAACAACCTCCAGGCTCTCCCGAAGAGTAAACAACAGATATTTTATTTCATAAAGTTTGCACTTAATTTGTGAGGGTTCTCAGGATCATTGGGGGCTACTGAAAAGAGGAATGTGTTCATTATCCTTTTGTCCCTCAAGTCTAGTGTTATTGTCACTGTCATGTGTTTCTGTGGGCAGAGCTGGTTCTGGAGGGTGGGTCAGTGTTTATTCGGCTCCGAGTGACCCCAGAGTGTCTCCTCACCCCACTGGCTCTCCTAGATGCTGTCTCTCTAGTTCGGTTCTTGCATGTAATGTATTCCACAATAAATGAATAATTGAACAAACCGTTCCTGTGTGATCTTTTTTCAGTTGCCTGTGACCATCCAAAGAGTCTTCCATGTTGGACCAACTGCTTTCTCTAAGCAGGGCTGCCATGGAGGCCCACAAGAGGGAGCACCTGGGGGACCCACTTTCCATTCTCTTCCTGCTGCACCACTGCCAAGCCAGGAAGACCCCTGGGGTCAGACCAGCTGGGCATCAGGCAGTAGCCATGAGTCTGCCCATCTGCCTGACAGCTTAGGATAAGGTGCTATTTGTCCTCTTGGGTCTCATCCTGGATCCCACACAGGTACAGAGAGGCCACTTACCTTGTCCAGAGTGAGAAGGCCTGAGCCCCCTTAAACCCCTTCTAAGGCTCTACTGTTTGTTATCAATTTTATACAGAGATAGGATAGCTCAGTGGGTTAATGTGCCTGCTTAGGCAGACACAGAGACTGGGGACTTGATCCCATCCTGCTGTGCTGGCCCCACCCCAGGGGTGCGCTGAAACAGCAAATGAGACTGGGCATGGTGGTGCAAGGCTGTAATCCCAGCGCTTGGGAGGCTGAAAACAGGAGAGTCGCTATGAGTCTGATCCATGTAGTGAGACCCTGTAGACCCTATGCTAAATACATCTTTAAAATTTTTTTTTACACAGAGCTTTGTGCCAGGCACTGGATTTGAGAGCCACTGCTCCAAGCCAGGTGGACATTACCCACACCTTTTTTGACATTTATTGAGATATAATTCACATCAGACATTTATCCACTTAGTACACAATTGCCTGGGGTGTGGCTCTGTGGTACAGTTCTAGCCTGGGATGTATGAAGCCCTGGTTTCATTCCCCAGCACTACAAAAAATAAAAAGTGTGTAGGTGAGTAGTTTTGGGTATAGCCTCAGGGTTGTGCAGCCACCCCCACTATAAATTTTTGAACATTTTTGTCCCATGAAGAGGAACTCAGTCTCTGCCCAGGCCACGACGTACTCTCCATGTAAAAAAAGATTCTGTGCTACTGTACTGTCTGGTGGCTGCCCTACACATATGGCTCTATTCTTAGAAGCAGGTCTTCCAGCTGGCTTGGACACAGGAGTTCTGAGGGATAGGATTGTGGAGGGCTGGGGTGCTTGTGCCTTCTTGAGTGGTCAGGGGCTGGGAGACCTTTAATGTCTTCATCTCTGGGGATTTGAGGATGGATACTGTCTTAGTTACCTTTCTCCTTGCTGAGACAAAAATACCTGACACCCAAAGTTAAAGGAGGAAAGTTTAAATTAGCTCATAGTTTGGAGAGGTTTCAGTTCAGAGTTGGCTGCCTCCGAGCAGGGTGAATGGAAGGGGCCTCATAGAGGAGAAGCAATTCATGGCAGGCAGCAGGTAACAAGCAGAGTCTCTGTCCCTTCTGTCCTCTCCAGGCTACCCACCTGGAGTAGCCTTAGTCCCAGCACCACAGCCTTGACTACAGTACACAGCCTAGTTCTAGCCACCTCTGAAAAGCCCCACCTATGAGCAGAAGGCTTTGGGAGACATCTTAATGAAAGCCGGAACAGATGTCAAGTGGGGTAGATTCCTCAAACCCAGTGGGCCTGGAATGAACTTGGAGACACCTACCCCGCCTTTCACTGCTGGTGAAATCTGAAGAAAGCAGTAAAAACAGTGTTCTCAGCAACATAGGGCTTGGTGGAACCAGCACTTGAATCCAGACCCTCACTTCCCAGACCAGCAACTTAGAGGAGTGGCAGGAAGGCCACCACCTCCATGGTTGGTACCTGAATACTTCTGTGCAGATGGTGCGGGACAGGGTGGGCCCGTAAGGGGCCATGCTGGGATGCCCACCAGCACCAGCCCAGACCACAGACGACAGCACTTGGTTTCCTTGGCCAGTTGCTCCCTGGAGCCCAGGGAGTTTCATGGAGGTCCTGCCTGTCTCTCATTGGCTGGGGTAAGCTAGTGAGTGTCCTCCCACAATGGGGGTTGTCCGAGTTAAATTTTTTCTCATTGCTGGGACAAAATACTCAACACCCAAAATTAAGGAAGGAAAGGTTTATTTAGCTTATAGTACAGGCTTCAGTCCATACTCGGCTGGCTCCAAGGCAGGATGGCCCATAATGGCAGAGGGCAGCCATTCATGGTGGCAGAAAATAACAAGGAGCAAAAGGAGGTGCAGAGGCTGCAGCAGCTAGCCAGCCTCTCTCTCCTCCTTACATTTGTATGCAGATTACCCATGCCAGGGCAGGTGTAGCACTCACACCTATAATCCCAGCATTGGATCATGAATTAATCCAAACTCTAGAAGCCTGCCCCAGTGACTGCATGAGGCTTTGCAGGGACTAGACACAAACCATAACATTCCTCCCCTGGTCCCCCAAAGATTCATGTACATCCCTTTATTCAAAAAGCATTTTAGGGGGCTGGTGAGATGGCTCAGTGGTCTAAAGCACCTACTTAGTACAAGCTAAGCTAAGCAAAAACACAGGGACCGCGGTTCAATCCCCCAGCACCACATGCCAGCCAGCCCCGCCCCCCTGGTGGGCTGAGCTGGCCATACACACACCCACACACACCCACACATGCAATAAATAAATAAATAAATATTTTTTTTTTTAAAAAAAAAGCATTTTAGTCAATCTCTAAGAGCAGCCAAAGTCCTAACAGTTTCAGCACTGCTGAAAAGTCCAAGTCTCAAGTCTCCTCCAAGATCTAAGGCAAAGTCTTAACTGTATGCTCCTGAACAAGTGAAAAGTTAAACATTTCCAAAGTTCAGTGGTAAGAAAAATATTACTGTTCCAAAAGGCACAAACAGCAGCATACACAGCATTGGAACTAAAGCAACTCTAACATCCAGGAAGGCAAATATTAAGTCCTGTAGTTCTATGTAGAACATCAAAAACAATCTGTGGCAAGTTGTGAGCTCCATGTGGCTCCACCTGTATGGCTCTGCTGCTCATTACAGCTCCCATGGCTTCGCTCTGGGGCTGGTTTTGCTCCCTCCTTGTAGCTTTCCTCAGACAATCCACATTCCTGGCTTTTCCAAACTGGGGTTTGCACTGCATGTTAGGCTTCTCACTATACTTCATGCACTGCCCTTCCAGGCACACATTGCCTGGCCTCCTGGTCCTTCTCAAATCTAGATGGAAGCCTTTTTTTTTTTTTTTTTTTTTTTTTTTTGGTGGTACCAGGGATTGAACTTGGGCCCTTGCACTTGCTGGGCAAGCGCTTATTCTACTGAGCTATCACTGTGGCCCTTTTTTCTTTTTTTTCTTTTTTTACCAGAACACTAAGTTTTATTTGGCATTTCTTTTTTTTCTTTTCTTTTCTTTTTTTTTTTTTTTGGCATTTCATTAAGGTTAAATCTCTAGGAATGAGGAGCTCTTGTTAGAGGGCACAACAGTCCAAAAAATCTCAGATCTCATAGTGAACCACCGGCTGAGGTTCTTTGCTGGGATCATCACCTCATTCCAGGTACAGATTATTATAAGGATACTGTTTTGTCTCCACAGGCTGGTAGCTGGGGTACATCTTCCCTACACAGAACATAAAAAGCATGAACGCCATGAAGCTGAAGAGATGGTTATGCATGATATGCCAAGAAACAGGTATGGGAGATGTGTCCACACGATTCTGGATATACATGTCTAGATGCCAGTGAATTGGTTCACCCCAGTTCAACCTCAGGTCTGGGTGATCCCATTCATACCATGGATTCCTCTCATGCTGTGAGAAGTCAGGCAGCTTTGGTCCTTATACCCCATGCTTTCAGCCAGGTGAGGCTCATAGTCTTCCACACACATATTATACTTCTTGGAGGCAGCTGCCTGTTCCTCTGGGGTCCTGGGATAGGCACCTGGTAGCATGTACTTAATAATGTGGGAGGCTGTCCGTGCCCCCACACCGCCTGCCGAGCTGTGCTTTGCAGCCACCAGAAACCCAGAGCCAAAGCCTGGACTCCCACCATCTTCACCTTCTTCCCAGTTCACTCTTCTAGAAGACTTTTTAACCTCAGAACTCCTGCATTCTGCATGCACCTAAAACCAACATCATATGGATCATGCCAAAGTCTGCTGCCAGCTGAAGCAGTAGCCAGGCTTTCTTCTCTCTTGGCTGTAGGGGTCAAGTGCCTGGATCACTGAGAACTCTGACTCTGATTCTGAGAAACAAATTCTCTATGCTGTCACCATTCTGGAGCCTGGCACTCTGCAGCTTTCTCCCCAAGGCAAAGTCACTTTTTCAGTTTTGAGGCTGTAAAGGGTGAAGACTTGCTGTTTCCTGTGATGCCCTCAGGCCTTCCCTTCAATTTTCCTGTTCCTTGCTGGCAATAGAGATCTTTTCGGCTCTATCTTTGCATTCCACAGCTTTATTGGCACTTGCTTTCTGGCCAAACTGACAACATTTAAATTAACTTTCTGGGCTCTTTGCTCTTGATTCTCAACAAAATCTGACTAAAAGCCCCCAACAATACCCATGCCACTGCTGCAACGTTCAACTGCCTTGAAATTTCTTTTGCCAAATTAACCAGTCTCTGCATTTAATCTCAGTCTCAGGCAAAGTCTCTGGACATGAGCAAAATGCAAACAAACTTTCTGCCAAGCTATATCACATTGCCTGAAGAGTCTAACAACTAATGTCCTTCCCCGAAGAAACCTCCCCAGCCTGGTCTTTACAGGTAGGATTTCTATCAGCCTTCTGGTCTTCTGAGCCCTGAGCAGAATCTCCCATAGAGAATAGCTGAAGGCACTCCAGTGCTTCTCTTGTAGGTGACATCTACTGAACCTTTCCTATGTCTTCCCATAAGCCATTCCCAAAGGCTCTTGAATGATACGGTCAGGTATATAGGCACAGCAGTGACACCACTTCTCTGGTACCAAATTCTGCCTTACTTTTTTCTCATTGCTGGGACAAAACACCCAACACCCAAAATCAAGAAATAAAAGATTTATGTTATGTTATGTTATCTATTTATTTATGTGGTACAGAGTCTTGCTATGCAACTCTGACTCATAGTGATCTTCCTGTCTCAGCCTCCCCAGTGCTTGGATTATAGGCATGCACCACCATGCCTGGTTTCAATGACCAGCATGGCATGTGGTATTGGGGACTGAACTCAGTTCCTTGAGCTTGCCAAGAAGGCACTTAGACTGCCAAGCTATCTCCTCAGCCCTAGAAAGGTTTATTTAGCTCACAGTTCATGGAAGTTTCAATCTACACTTGGCTGGCTCCAAGGCAGAGTGGCACATGGCAGAGGGCAGCTCTTCATGGCTGCAGAAAACAGCAAAAAGCAAAGGGAGGAGCAGTGACTGCTGTGGCACCTAGCAAGCCTCTCTCCCCTCCTTACATTTGTATGCAGATTGCACGCTGCAGGGTGGATGTAGCACTCACACCTATAATCTCAGCATTAGATCATGAATTAATCACAAATTCTACAAGCCTGCTCCAATGACTGCATGAGGTTTTGCAGGGACAACTAGACATAAACCATAATAGGGGTCTTGGGGAGCAGGCCTCTGCAATGAGAGAAGGCCAAAACTCAGGCCCCTCTGAAAAGACACCACAGACCCTGAGCCCAGTCTGCGCCCTAGTCCTGTGCATGGCATGGTAGTGCTAACACACAGGATCCGTGCCCCCGCCCTGTGGAGAGTAGGTTGACTTGGTGTCTCCACCATGAACTCACCAGTTCAGTGAGCCATTCGTGCTTTCAGTTGGTGTTCCTCACTGGCTGCTCTGTGCCAGGTCAGGGCCACAGGGGAGAGGAAGGCCTGCTCAGGCCCTGCCCTTGAGAAGCTCAGGGCCTGGTTGGGTTCCCAGAATTGAGGACGCTCTGTAGCCAGGAAGTGCTGGCGCCCTTTTAAATAGGCTTCAGGGAGTAGCCAAGGCTCTAAGTGGCAGCTGCAGTGCTTCAGCGCTGCAGTTATTTGGAGGGTGGGGTGCAACTCTGCCTAACTGACCAGCCTCCTTGGAGGGACCTCATTTCCCTGGCAGGCACTTGGCAAAATGTATTTCTCTAATACATTAAGAGCTATTCCTAAAGGAACGGTTCTGTGGAATAAGAAGTTCCAGAATTGGAGTAAAGTAGCATCAGGATTGCTTTGTCCAATCAGAATGAAGAATTTATTGGTTAATACAAGTGAAATCAGCTTCACAAGGGGCTTACTGATTTATCTGCAATCGGCCTCATTGTATGTATTGGCTCTGCTTCCTTTGGGTCAGCTTTTCTGTATTGGCAAATTCAGGCTACGTGCAATACTAGCAAGGAGAAGATGCCTCTTTCCAAATAATTCTAACAAAAGTCTAAGAATACCTTTGAAAAATCAGGCCATTAGCAGAGTGTTATGGTGTATGTCTAGTTGTCCCCCCAAAACCTCATGCAGTCAGGGGGTGGACTTCTAGAGTTTGTGATTAACTCATGGTCCACTGGGATTATGGGTGTGAGTACAGTACCCAGCCTGGAGCTAATAGCCTGAATGCAACTTAAGGGAGACAGACTTGTTCTCTGTAGCCATTGTTGCTGCTACTCCTCCTTTTTGCTCTCTGCTCTTTGCCCCTGCCATGAATGGTTGCTCTCTGTCCTGTGCCACTCTGCCTTGGAGCCAGCTGAGTATGGACTGAAACCTCCAGTAACTATAACCTAAATAAACCTTTCCTTCCAGAATCTTGAGTGTCCCAGCAACGAGAGAAGAGTAATTGAGATACAAACGAAGGATGAAATCTGGGTAAACATGCAAGTTGGTGGTCACTGCAGTGTAGATGGTAAGGGCCAGGGATGGGAGTGAGACACAGACTTGGACAGATACTAATGCCTAGACTCCATACTTGACCTTGGCTACCTCTGGTCAAGTCCCTGGAGCCTGGAGAGGAGCTGAGACCCACCTGTGCTTTCTCTCCCCAGAAATCCAGGACAGGACAGTGGCAGTGCTGGTATCCTGCAATGCCTCTGAGCTCCTGCCCACTAGTCTCCCCTCTGCAGCACTTAGGAAGAAGGAGCCTGCCATCCATCTCTTTTGAAAAAAAAAAAAATGTGTGTGTGGGTCTCCTTTGAGCCCCAGGGAGAGAGGCAGAATCAGGGACCTTGACTGGGCAGGATTCACCCAGAAAGTTCATTGGCTTATGGCCAGAGCTTTCTGGGCCACTCCAAAGGGTTGTCTAGGCTCCAAGGCTGGGCCTCAGCATCCCAGGCAGCAAAGCCTCTACTTCTAGCACTATGGGGTGGGCTCTGTTTCTGGAAGCTGAGTGGGCCCCATTCTATGAGACCACTTCTCCCCATACCTACTACTCTTAAGAGTTGCTGTCTGGGGGCTGCAGGCTCACTGGTGCAACTAGGTTAACTGACTGGTCTTCACTTTCTTCTTTAAAAAAGAAAGTTGGGGGCTGGCAAGATAGCTCAGTGAACTAAAGTGCCTGCTTAGGCAAGCTTAGGCTAGCGCAGGGACTGAGGTTCGATCCCTGGCACCACATGCTGCTCCAGCCCCACCTCGGGGCTGGCTGAGCAGGCCAGAGTCCAGGCATAGTGGTGCATGCCTATAATCCCACCACTGGAGAAGCTGAAAGCAGGAGCACCACGAGTCCAAGCTGCATAGTCAGACCCTGCAACAACCAAATACATTAACAATAAATAAATAAGAGTAGTACTGATAGCTCAGCACACTAAAGTGCCTGTTTAGGCAGAGCACAGTGGCTGGGGTTCAATCCCCAGCCTGCCATGCTGGGTGTGGTGGTGCACACCTATAATCCCAGCACTTGGGAGGCTGAAAACAGGAGAATCACTGAGTCCGATCTACATAGTGAGACCCTGTAGACCCTGTCCTAAATACAGAAAATAAATAAATAAATAAATAAATAAAAAGTTGGTGGTAGACCCATTACCCAGAGAATCATATTCATTCTTAAGAGTAAAGTGGGCTGAGTATGACCCAGGGAGCAAGGTGACTGGGAAAGGTGCCCACAGCCCTGGTTAACAGACAATCACTAGGTTAGTCCAGGTTTGTTTCAGTCCCATTAAACAACAAAACAGCAGACTTACAATTTTTTTTTTTTTTTTTTTTTGTGGTGCTAGGGATCAAACTCAGGGCCTTATGCATACAAGGCAAGAAATCTACCACTGAGCCCCAGTCCCAGCCCCAGTCCTCAAATTTTCTTTGACAATTCAAAATCATAACCCATTCATGACTGGACTTGGCTGGTGGGAGTTAGATGCTATCTAGGGTGCTTTCTGTGCTGGCTGCCAAGTGGACTTGCCTGTTTTATGACTTCCCTTCCATCTGCACTCGGCCTTAGGCACAACAGCCACTTACTGGGGATAGCTGTCCCCTCCCTCATTCTCTCAGTCTGAGTGCCACCCAGCACTGCCGTGCAGCAGGCTTTCGGTTCAGCCCGCCCTTTTCGTGGAGGATCTATCAGGTGATGAACTCAAGCTAAGCTGGAGGGGCCCCACCATGCTGTGAGTCTCCCTAGGGAATGTAAACTACGGATGTTCAGGGGGGGCTAGAAAGCACCTGCCTAGCTCACAGCAAAGAAAGCACACACAAGTCATCTAGGACCACAAACACCCAGGTCTAGTCTCCTGTCTCCACGCTTCACATTGGAGAAGGCAGGATTTCCAGTGGCACCAGGCTCCTGGCCTCCGCGGCCTGGCAACTTCATCATGACTCCGGCAGGTCCCAGCTCAGCTCCTGCCGCAGTGAAAGACAAAGGTGCCAGGAGGAGCGGAAGGAGGCTCCGGAAGAGGTGTGCCTGCTCTTCCACCCACACTAAGCTCAGCAGGGGCCCTCCTGGCACTTGGTGCCTCCTCCAAAAGACTCAGAACAGAAGCTGCCTCCTACTCTCTTAGACACTAGGGGGCGAGGGGCAGAGGTCTGTAGGGATGGCGGAGTGACCCGGGGGAACGCCGGCTCGGGGCAAGCACAGTACCGACACCTGAGCGCCGCCGGCCCTTCCGGCTCAGGACACGCACTTGGCGGCAGTCCCAGCCAGGTGCAGAGCCCAGAACAGGCCCACCTGGCCCCGCGGCGCGGCCTCCCCACCCCCGAGTCGAACCGGCGCCGCGCGCATGTGACCCTATGCCGGGCTCCCAAGCTACAAGCTGACGCCACGTCACCCCACTCCGGGCCAGGCGCCCATTGGTTGTGGCGGCCCACGAGGGCGGGGCCCGCCTGGCTCTGTGCCCTAACTCCCTCGGGCCTCCAGTGGCGACCTGCCCCGCCTGTATGAGCAGCCGGTGTTGCTCCCCTACAGTCTTCTGCCTGGGCGCAATCAGAGCAATAGCAATGAGAAACCCTGGGCAGGCCGCTTCACCGCGTCCTGCCTCAGTTTACACATCTGTCAAATGGGACTGGAACAGCCACGTCCTCCTAAGGCTGTCCGGAGGAATGCACTGATTAATGGAAGAAACCTATTTGGCTCTCTTTGAAGCTAGCTCAGTGATTGGTGACAACGCGGACTTCTTTGAACTAGGCAAACAAAAACCTAAGGGCTAGTGCTCTCAGCAGCAGAGCTGACATTCCTTGCCTGTGCTCGGAGCTCCCCAGCCAACAGTAGCCTGAGGTTCTTATTTGGGGATCTCTGCATCTTGGAAGCAGAGGGGAGGAAATACAAGGACAACCAGTTCTCCTCAAAAACATGACTTTTTCCACCTTTACCTTGACGGCTGTCTTATGGCTATCCTGGAGTGAGGATTCATTTTCCTTGGCGTTTCAACTAGACATCAGTTTCAACTGACTTTTCTAGTGGGCTCAGGTCTGTAATGCCATACCTTAACTTCTAGCCTAATTCTGAGTTATGGAGTGCATATATATATATTGAGCTATGCTGCTGTTGCTGCTGCTGCTGCTGCTGCTGCTGCTGCTGCTGCTGCTGCTGCTGCTGCTGCTGCCAATGCTCCTCCTCCTCCTCCAGTTATTTTAGGACAGTGTCTTGCTTTGTAGTGCAAGTTGGCCTCAAACTCTCAGCAATCCTGCCTCAGCCTCTCAAGTGCTTTGAGCTGTGCTTTTTTACCTATGTGGTAAACTTACTTCCAGAACAGTGAGGCAGATCTTTTGTGATTATGACTAAACAGCCTCCCTGCTTCTGCAGGTACTGCAGCTGAGACTCAGAAATGTGAAATGATGCCGGGTCACACAGCAATCAGGTGAAGAATCACGTCAGCTATTAGATTCTGAACAAAAGTGGTATTGAGGCTTTAACCAGCACCCCTGCCCTTCTCCTTGGGAAGGGCTATTTGACTTTTCAGGGAAGTCCCTGAGTGTCTCCTCAGGGTAGTGGAAAGTAAGGGTTGGGGAAGTAAAGGAGTAGGGAAAAGTCAGCTATGCTATGTTCCTAAACAGAAGTCAGCTGTATTCCTAAACAGACGTCAGAGGCCTGTTTGGTGGCATATGTAATGCCATAACCCTAGCACTCTGGGAGACTGAGGCAGGACGAATGGGTGCTCATGCTCATCCTGGGCAATTTAGTGAGACCCTATGTCAAGAACAAGTTTATCTGGAGAGGGCAAAGCCTTGGATGGAAGCTTGAATAGGGTTACTTTCAGGAGAGATACAGCTTGAAGACCCCACCTCCACCAGCCCATGGCTCCAGCCCATTTTTGGTAATTTTCCACAGCAGTGACTTCTGTGAGGGGAACGAAGAAAACTGCTGCGTGTCCAGGCTGAGCCCCAGGGAGATGGGCCTCTATGATCTCTCTCGATGTAAGCACCCCTCCTCCTGCTTTCTAACGTGCACCACTCATTTTACCCCCTCAGAGGGCCTGAGCAGCCAGGCTGTACTTAGACTCCAGAATGACTTCTCTGAGGCCTGAGGGTCTAGCTCCTTTCTGGGTTTGCTTGGCTGTCCTCCACCAACACTGCGCTTATCCACTTGACATCTGGAGACAGGGAGCTCACTGCCTTCCCACTGAATGTTATGCCTGGTTTATTTCAGTCCACCTCATCAGGATCTCTTTGCCCTCACCTGCCCTTCTGACTCTGTCCCCAAGCAAAAGGCCAAAGGTTCACTTGATAGCCCTCTCCTGGCCCAGGCTGCTTGCTCTGGCCTTGCCCCCCAGGCTGTCATATCCAGGGCAACCTGGCCTGTGTCTGAGGCATAGTTTGCCTCTTCCTCATGGCCCTTGTCCTGGTGGTTCCCATGAACACGCACCAAGGGTGAGGCTTGACAGCCCTCGGGTCAGTCTTTGAGTCGCTGTATAACCTTGGGAAGGTCACTGTTCCTCTAGGTCTCCCTGGACTTCAAGGGCCCCTGCCTCATCTCCTTTCCCATCCCTACAATGGACCTGCGAGGAAACCAGACTGAGACAGACAGGCAATTCCAGCTCCAGTAAGTTCCCCTTGCCCAGTGCCCTCCGTCTTCAGGAGACCAGTCTTAAGTTCCTATGCAAGGAGGACTGGTCGATCTCACAAGCATCATCCTTGACTTCCCAGCCTGCATGTGGAGAGGTAGAATTAAGCTCCTGTTACAGATGAAAACAGAAACAGAGTGGTGACGTAATTAACCCAAAGCCACACAGCAGGATAGGGTCAGGTATAACTTGGCCAGTTTTGCTCCTTCACCTTTCCCTATCCCCTCCAAGTCCTGACACCTCTGGGAATAGGCCCAGTTCTGTGGCTTCCACTCAGGTCCTTTGCTTGATGCTAGAGAAACTGAGGCTGAAAGGGGCAGTGCCCTGAGCAAGCACTCTGCAGAAAAGCTGCTGTGCATGGGGCTGGACAAAATGAGGGTCAGGAAGGAACTCTGGGCTTGTTGTGCACAGGTTTGCGGTGCCCTCTGGGAACGGGACATCTTCGCACTCCCTAGGCCGGGAGGGGACGTATACCCGCAGGGCGGAGCCTCCTGCCAGGCCCCGCCTCGTCTCGCCCGCCTAGCTGAGACGCTGCCCGGGAACCCAGTTTCCGAGGAACTTTTCGAGGGCGCAGGGCAACGTCCGAGGCCAGGGCAGGACGCAGGTGCACAAGCAGCGGCGGCGCTACTCCTCGGGAAGGACCTGTGCAGCGCGGGCCAGGCGGGCCGCCCGGAGGCGGCGGCTGCACCATGGACGAGCAGCCCTTCAGCGAAGCGGACCTGGAGCAGGCATTTGCCGAGCCAAGCGAGCTGGACGCGGCACTGCTGACCGACATCGAAGGTGCGTTGGGACCCGCAGGGCTCGAGGCGAGCAGGAGTGCGCGGACGGTACTCGGCCTTTGTCTCCAGGGTCGGCTCGGGGCGCCGTGGAGCGGGCGGCACCTACGCGCGGTTTCTCTCTAGGTCGCACGTTCAGAGTGCGAGCTCCTTTGGGCCGCGCCTCGCCTGAATCCCCGGGCACCTCTGGGCTAGGGCACGTGCGTCCTAGGCGTCCTGAGTCTGTACCTAGAGGCTGCTGTGTCCCCAATCTTGTGGCGGCTGTGGCTGGAGCTTGAGACCAGGGCGTCGCCTAGGCCCCGCCCCTATCCTGCCATGACGTCAGTGGGGGTTACTCACGGTCATTCCCTCCGGACCAAGAGTTCAGCGCTGCTCTGGAGTTCTTGCGCATGCGTACAGGGCTGAATTTAGCACTTCCACTCTGACAGTCCTGTTCCTCCGGGTCTGTGACCTACCTTCCTCTGTAGGCCTTGAGTGTTCACAACGAGACCCGAGATACCTGTCTGTTTGAAGGAACAAAATTCTTCGAGGAAACTGCAACGGACCAGCAGGGGGTGGGGGGGTTGGGGGTTGGGGGGTTGGGAGGTTGCGAGATGGGGGATGTTTCCCAGGAAGAAAGCAAGGCAAAGGCACTGAGGCAGATCTGAGTTTGAGGAGTTAGTGGTGGATCGCAAAGGAGGTGAGACTGGGAAGACTGGCTTAGAGGGCACCCTGGCATTGAGGGTCCCGGGTTTGAGCTAAGTAGTGACCCCCTCATACACTTTTTATTTTGTAGTGCTGGGGATGGAAGGAACTCGGAACTCTCACATGTTAGGCAAGTGCTGTATTACAAAGTCACACCCAGGACTCTTACACTTTGAAAGCATCATGGCTCAGGGGTTTGGGCACCAGTGAGGGACCGTGTTACTTCCACTTTCTCCAAAGAGGGCAAAGGAAAGCCCCCTGGGAAGTTACTCTCTGTGGTTGCTATGCAGGAGTTGTGGCAACACTGGCTAGCTTGCTCTTGGTTAATGGGGAAACTGAGGCCAAGAGCACAGCAACAAGCTCCCTGGGCTCTCTCGACCTGGATGTACCTATACATGGGGGTCTGTGGCCACTCTGGGGTTGGCACACAGGTTCATCAGTTCATCCTAGGTCCTGCCACCAACTTAGCTCCCAGCCCCCCAGTGCTGTGCCTAAGGGGTGCAGGCTGCAAGGGCTGTGGCAGATCTGGGAGGAAGTGGGCTGCATTGGGGGATTATTCACTTCCTCTGTCACCTTGTGTGAGTCCTCTCAGGGGCTTAGCCTCAGTTTCCCCCCCCTCCAGAAAATGAGGGTGCAAATGCTGACTTCACAGGGGAGCTGAGGTGTATCTAGGCCTCTAATGGTGCAGACCTTTCTCATGAACTAACAGGAACATTAGCAGGCTCCCACAACAACTGTAGGGGGCAGTTAGAAGCCAGGCTATACCTGAGCCCAGGACTGTGAGAAGGGACAGACATGGGCCATTAAGGATCAGGAAGTCCCCTTCTTGCTGCAGCGGAGTCTTAGGTTTGCTCCCGTAGTTAAGGATTTCTCAGGCTCTATTCAAACTTTCTGTTCTTTTTCCCAGTAATGCAACCTGACTGATATTGTTTGTTTGTTTGTTTTGTCTTGAACTCGGAACAGTCCTCTTGCCTCAGCCTCCAGAGTGCTGGGATTATAGGCAGGCACCACCATGCCTGGCCCGACTGCTGTTGTAGAAAATCAGAACATCCATCTGGCAAACATAAGAAAATAAAAGCTTCCTTTTTTTTGGTGGAACCGGGAATTGAACTCAGTCCCTTGCTCTTGCCAGGGAAGTGCTTATTCCACTGAGCCATCTCCCTGGCCCCAATAAAAGCTTTCTTAAACCCAACACCCAAAGTTAAATTTTCTTAAAGATGTGAGGGATTATTTCATCCTTGCTCAAGTGTGCATGTGTGTTGGGATGACAACACTTTGTCTAGTTTTTCAAAACTTTGAGGTATTATTTATCTATTTATTTTGGGGACAGGGTCTCCCTGTGTTACTCACGGTTGCCTCAAATCCCAGATACAATTGATCCTCCAGTGGGCTACAGGCACAGCTCACTGCAGTGGTTGAGGTATAATGTATGTACCATTAAAAAAGGAAAGAAAAGATGCCAGTGATGTAGCACATTCCTGTAATGCCAGTGCTCTGGGAGGCTGAGTAGGAGGACTGTGATTTGAGCCCTGGGCAACTTACTGAAACATTGTCTGCAAATAAAAAATTAAGAAAGGACTATTCTGGGTGTGGCCATTCGTGCCTGTTATCTCAGCGCTCAGGAGATTGAGGAGGATCACTGTGAGTTTGAGGCCAGCCTGGGCTAACTAGCAAGTTCAAGGCAGCCTAAACTACAAAATGAAACTCCATCTCAAAAACCAAACAAATAGACAACAAAGGGGGAGGGGTGGAGGTATGTGGGTATGGCTCAGTATGAAGGCTATAAATTCAGAGAGAGAGAGAGAGAGAGAGAGAGAGAGAGAGAGAGAGAGAGACAGACAGACAGACGGAGACAGAAGAGGCCTGGCCTGGTGGTGAACACCTGTAGTTCCAGCACTCTGGAGGCTGACACAGAAGGACCACAGTGCGTCTGAGGCCAGAATGGGCTGCATAGTGGGTTCAAGGCTATTCTGAACTTTATATGGAACCCTGTGTCAAAAACAAAAACGGCAGAGCGCAGAGGCCAGGGTTTGGACCCCAGCGTGTTGTGTACGCTGAGACAGCGATTGACACTGGGCTTGGTGGTGCGTGCCTGTAATCCCAGCACTTGGGAGGCTGTAAACAGGAGAACCACTACAAGTCCGATCTATTTAGTGAGATCCTGAACAGCCTGTAGACCCTGTACTAAATACAGAAAAAAAAACACGCCTTGACAAGGAAAGGGCTCATGATGTAGCTTAATGGTAGAATGCTTAGCACTTGCTTAGTGTGTAAAAAATCCCTGGGTTTGATCCTTAGCACTACTACCATAAAACTTACCTATTTTATTCTTTTTATTAATGTATTTAGTACAGGGTCTACAGGGTCTCACTACACAGATCAGACTCATAGTGACCCTCTTGTTTTCAGCCTCCCAAGTGCTGGGTTTATAGGTGTGCACCACCACGCCCAGTCTCAAGACAGTATCTATTTTAAATATATCATTCAATGATTTTTAGTAAATCTATTCTTTTTTTTTTTTTTTGTGGAACTGGGATCGAACTCAGGCTCTTGCACTTGCCAAGGAAGTGCTTATTCCACTGAACCATCTCCCTGGCCCCAATTTTTAGTAAATCTGTTGAGGTATGTGAAGTTGTAGAACATTTTCATTGTACTAGTAAGATTCCTCATGCCAGTTACTAACCCAAGCAGCCATGAATCTATATTATTATTACTACTACTATTACTATTATGAGTAATGGGCTCTTTACTACTGAGCTATATTCCCAACCTATGTATGTATGTATGTATGTATGTATGTATGTATTTGGATGCCTATGCAAGACTAAAACTTTTGGTCCTCCTGCCTCAGCTTCCCAAGTGCTGGGATTATAAGCATGCACCATCAAATTTGGCTATGAATGTGGGTTATTTATAAACTATAATAGGGTTCATTGCAGCAGGTTGTAACTTGCTTTGTACATGCCAACAGTCAGAGAATGATCAGGTTTTCTTATTTAATCTACATGGTTGCCTGTCAGTGGATAACTAGGTTGCTTTATTCTCATAAACTAGTGCATCAGACTTCCCAAGAATACCTACATGTTTACTGAGTTCCATAGGGTGAGGCTGTAGGAGAACTGAAGATCAGAACCCATACCTGTTTTGGAAATTCTACTAGGATGAGAACCAGAGAGGCATCTGGGGGTGAGAGATGCCAGGTGTCCTGAGAGGAAGGAAAGTTGAGAGTCATCATGACAGCCTGAATACTGGATGCCAGAGGCAAGGGGTAGAAGAGAGGCAGGCCATGCTCAAGTTGTGTTAGAAGTTCCCTCGAGTGTGTATCAGGCACTATATTGAGCTCATGAACGCTCCCACGTACGTGGTGGGCAGACTCATGATCTCCATCTTGTACATGAAGGCCCTGAGGAACAGAGAGTAAGTGAGGTAGACACAGCACACAGCCACAGGATGGCGCAGCCAGGATTCAGAAGCAGGTTGTGGGCACAGAGCCTGTTTTCCACTTGACCTCTTCACTATTGGGCTTGTCGGGCTAAAGATGACACACTGGGGAAGACTGCTCCCCATGGGCCCCTGCTGGGATCAGCCTCATGTCATGAAACTGGAAACTGGCACCACAGAACCAGTCTAGGACTTGAGCCCCCCTCCCCACCTGCCAGCCTGCTTGGCTGGGTCCTCTATCATGTGAATGGGGTTTGGGGTGGGCCTACACCTGGAGCCTCTGTCTGCAGGTGAAGCCACTGCCTGGCCATGGTGCCCTGGGTTGGGCCCCGTGACTGACTGTGACTTCGTTGTTTACCTTTTTTCCTCCTTGCTCTGTGCTCTGGGTCCCTTGCAGCAGGGGAGGGCATGAGAGAGGAGGAGCCCTGGACCCCTGTTGAATATTATCCTTGAGCCCAGGGCAGCTGAGAATTAGTTTTATCAGATCTGGCACAAGGCAAGTGGAAATAGTTCTGTGGGGGCTTGGGTGGGCCACTATATCCTATGGGTCCTAGGGCTGAGGAGTCTGACAGCATATCTGTTGACCCCAGGAGTCAGCCAGGGGACTTAACTGCTAGCCTGTGTGTGTGTGTGTCTGGCCGCATCGGGACTGGAAGAGGACATATCAGGCGCCTACTCTGACACCCAGACCTCTTAGAGGATCTCAGATCTCCCTCTGATCCCACCAAGCATGAACATTCCTTAGAAAACAGCTCTGGTATGGTTGCTATCCAGCTTCCTACATTAATTAATTCTCTTGTTCCCAACTGTCCATGGCTCCCCAGTGCCCTCAAGATGACATTCCTTGTCTCAGCATGGTACTCAAGACCCAAAAGATTGCCAAGCATGCTCCT